AGACTCTGCAATTAACTGAAAAACCTGAAGCATTTTGTCTGGACTCTCCAGGATTGTTTACAGATTATTCCAGCCTCACTGGCTCTATGCAAATGTCCTGGCGTTCCGGCTTAGAGGAATGGGTGGGAAGGGTCCCGGCTAGGGGAAAAGTCATTGTTTCACACTCTATGCATTACTGATGTCATTGAGTAGCATGCAAAAGCAGCTACTCAATTGCCACTGGTGCAGCTTCAGAACAAGGTTTAAACATGTGTCTGTTAATGAAGGCACCTGCAGGAAGCAACAGAAATGACAGTTTCTCTCGTGTGATTATATTTTTTTTGTTTTGTTTGTTTTTGCTTATCTCTGCAGGTAACACCATGATTGGAGGGTGTTTTTGAGAGGAATGAGTGCAGATGTTTGTTATTGCTCATCTGATGGTCCAGCATTTTCCTCACTCATCCCATATAGTGTGACTGAGCTGGATGCACAGCCCTGATGGTTGATATTTGCTTGAGTGACATGGAAAAGTTTCATTCATAAATGTAACATTGATAATATATATATTTGGTAATGAGCGAATGTTGTCTCTATACGTCTTCCCTCCTATCTTCTGCTCACTCAATAGAAATGGTTTCCTCTTTACCTGAAAGCTTTAGTTTTAACTTGCATATTTAATAACTGTCCTCATGTCTCTCTTTTGGTTTGTTGTTATTTTTTCTCCCTTTTGTTGTCCCCCACCATCTTTTTTTTTTCCTCCCAACACTTATTCTTTACAGAGGTTTGAAGGATTTCGGAATGAGAAGACCATGCCTGCAAGCCTCGAACCATCATGCAGTGGTTCAACAGAGGCAGGATCCATTACTACAAGCAACCTCAGGTTGGTTTCGTATTACATTTTGAAGGCCTGGATCAGATGAAAAAAGAAAGTTGCGTGAAAAATTCCTAGTTTTATCAGACAGTGCAATGGCCAAATTAGGATGTTTTATGCAGAGGGCATTTGCAGAGCTTTAATCTGTTTCTATAATGGCCTCATCCTTGCTGAGTGGCCTTTCCGTCCAATATGGTACAGGTATTTTTTCAAGGTGGATAATAAGACTTTCTTACCACTTTCAGGAATCATCCTCTCAAGGTTTTTGGTCCTTAATGTTGGGGTGATATGCACAGTTCCACCAAAACACATGAATCTCTGTAGCACACATCCTGTCTCCTTTCTAAACAGCATTTTCTTGGTGTTATTACGTGGATGTAACTGTCTGAACAGCTAAGCATGTCACCTTCACGTCTCTGGAAATTGTGCCTAAACATAAATTAGCAAAGACAAGGCTGATTTTATTAGTTTTTTTGTTTTTTTATGTCACTCTTAAGTTATTTCCTTAAACAACACCAACAGGTGTATGCATCTTTTTAACACAAAGGTTGTGAATTAAATGGTCAGGATTTGAATAAATAATAAAGGAATAATAAAGAATTTATCTCTAACCCTAAAACAAGAAAATCTGTAGTTTGTCTTTTTCTAAAGCATCTGCAAATATTTGGTTTCTATTGTATGGCTTTATAATAACTGGCTAAACAATCATAGAAAGTCCAAGAACTAAATTTCTATCATAGCTTTATACCTTTGTTTACACAGGCAATCATGTATAGATCATAGTTCTTATTTTAAAGAACAGATTATTTTTTTTTTTTATTACACAAACAGAGCACTAAAAGTGTTGCATTAGAAGATTCCTGTTTTTGTCTCAAAATGAATGCAAATTTTCCTGCAGGAATCGGTATGGATGTTAACGAGGACGGAGCATGAAAATGTTTATTTATCCAAGTTGTGATCGTAGTGACACTAACACTGAAGGACAGGAAATCCTGAGAACAAACTTAGTATCTGGGGAGCTAAGTGACAGGTAGGAGGATAGGTAAGACAGTAGCACACTGACGACAGCTTTATAGATAGAAAAGTAGCAATATGGGTCTATTTATTGGTAATAAGGGCAAGTTCACCAAGGAATAGATATTACTGTGATAATAGCTGTTTTGAACCTCAGTGATGCATGATGGACAGCATCCACCACATGCAGAGAGGCGGCATGTACATTTATACACACAGCATCGCAGTCATCCGAGAGTGGCAGGAAGCTCATTAAAACAGGATGAATCATTGCACAGAAAAACAAAACCAATAAAACCTCTAATTTATCTTCAACTTTACATTTTCATGTAAATGTATTTTAGCATACTCTTGGTGTACCTGTCTGTTTCTGTGAAAGGAAGAACTTGTGAAATGTAATTGTACCTTTCCCTTTAAAATAAGCAGCCTAGTTCTGCATGAACTGGGCCAGTCAGTAAACGGGCAAAGGCATCTTCGGATTTGCATCTAATGCCCTGTGCAGCCGTATCCATGCAAACACACAGCAGCCAAACGGGGAACTGTCAGGTCTTTTGCATGGAGCATAAATGTCAGCTCACTATCACTTTCTCCTCAACATACCTGATGTTTATACTTTTCCCTCTCTCTGCCCCCTTTCAGGATACTTGCCCGACCGTTAACCCACCCCTCATCTGCTTTCTCTCACACAAGCCCCACTATTTCTCCTGCAGTCCCTATCGCTTCCGCTCCTCCATACTACATTTCAGCATTTAAATAAAAGCTTTCTGCAATTCACAGTTGTTGATCTCGATTTTTTTTTTCTGTGTGTTCTACCCCTGTCTAATATGGCCTCCTCTTTTTTTCCCCTTTATTCTATTCATCATTTCCACTCACTCTCAGTGTTCAAATCTTCTCTTTTTTCCCCCCTTTTCTCTCCAGCACGAGCGCTAAGATACGTGCAATTGAGGCCAAGCTCCAGATGATGGAGGAGAATCCAGATGATAGCTTCTCAGGGCCGTCAGCCTATGTTTACAACAAACCGCCTGAGAGGAAGCGATGGGAGCCCTACCCTAAATCGCACCACAGTAACCAGAGCCGGCCCTTCCGCAAGTTTAGGAGATGACCCATTCTCCTCCCTGCTCTGAAGCCCCCTCTCCCCCATCTCCTCCATGTTTTGCTCTCAATCCACCATCTCTACACAGACTCTTAAATCTGAGAACAGAATATTTTGCAGCTGAAGCAGATGAACAATAGCAGGACTGTATTGATGAGAAAAGTTTGTTTTTACTGCTGTGCCAGCGATCTGACTGGCTCTTCTATTGAGCTCCTCTGTTACATTTTTAATGCAGTTCAACTCTTCTCCAAATTATTGTTTTTTTTTAAACACGTTTTCTTGTGTTTGCATTATTATTTAATTAATAAAATGTTTTTAATTTGTGTTGGTGTTCCTTTTTTTTTAACCACTTTCTGTCACTCATTCAGATAGATTGAAATAATAAACCACAAGCTGCTCGTTGGTTTTAATTTCTGTTACCTCTGTAGGACCTTTTCTGCTTTATTCACCTCCCTTTTTGAGACCCCAAGAGTCTTCATTACTTAAACTCTTGAAGAAAAGGACAGCCCAGATGTGTTGGAATGTCATTTTTAGGTTAGGAGATGGGATACATTTCCACAATGAATCCCAACTTGTTGGATTTATGGGCTTAACTAGTAGGATCAGATGTTAAATAAAAAAATGCTCTGACCATGTATGCTGCTGGATCTTAAACATCTGTTTATTTACATATTTAAGGAACAAATAGCAAAAATAGAAGCAAAATGTTACACTTTTGTTTAAATAAGGATATTGAAGAAAAGCTGGATACAGTTTTGAACAAACTGGTTATCTAAGCTGCCATATTGTCATTGGCTACAATCACTAAGGAGGTTATGACTGAGATGGAGTTAAAGTCAGTTTGAAAGAAAACTGGAGAGTTTATTTAAGCAGGTTCCCAACAGATTAGTTTACAGCTGAGGTTTTGCAGGTAGGTAGAAACGATGGAGCTGATGTTTCAACCAGGTTCAAATGCATTCTCCTGTAAACATGAACATTTGTGACTCCTTGTTTTATGTCAACTAAAAAACTTAAGAATGATCTGAAAGTTTTGGGGGGGGGTTTTCTGAATGCTTCATTTGGTGTTCAGTTCTAATTTGGGTTCTAATCCTTTCTTTGCTTCATGGTTTACATTTTTTTTTAATTAATTTCTTTACATTTTTTTGTTAATTTCAGCTGGGAAAAATATAAATTGAAATTGTATAAACCAAGCAAGACGAAATCATACTTTTGATGTATTTGTTTCTGCTAAAAAAGAAAAGAAATAAAATGCGTAAAATGGTCCACCAATAGAAGGAATGTCTAAACTTCACCAGTAATTTGGCTTCCTTCAGGAACGAATTGCAGTGCTGCGCAATCAAGCAGATACTTGATGAATTCATGTGTGATATTCTCACCTGCAAAGCTTCTGATTGGTTGATTAAAATCCCCCAAAAGTCGCTTTTGCTGGAGATTTTTTTTCCAGTCATTTTCCTCATCGTCATCGTGCATCCGTTCATCTTTAATATATATATATATATATATATATATATATATATATTTTTTTTTCTTTAGATAATTTCTAAGATTTGCATGAAATCTTAATTCAAATAAATTTCAAGAGATTCTTTTCTCTCTCTCTTTTTTTTATTCTTAGCTGTTAATTTTCTAAAAGGTCAGTCCTATAGGAAACAGAAAAAAAAGTCCATGACCTAAACTCACAATTACAGGATGACAGGAGTTATTTTAAGATTTAAATATATTATATTTTTCAGGATTTATTGAGGATTCAGTTTTCAGAATTTATGTGATTTATACAAATATATATCTCTAGTTAAAATATTGAGAGAAAACTATCATTAATTACTAGAATATAAATAGTCTCATAGAAGCCAAAATAATAAAGTTGTATTCATAAGCAGTCTACAGTAGCATCTTAAACCAGATATTTTTTTCTTCCTTAAAAGAAATCCATGCTGCAGCTGCATAAGTGGAGTTTGTGTCACAGCTGTTACAAACTGTGTCCACCCTTCTGCAACTCTTTCCTCTCCCTCCCCCTCCTTTAACTGAAAGGCAGGCCTGCAGAGCCGCGCAAACTTTCCCTGCAGCTCTGCGGAGACACTTTGGTTCTGTTCTCTTTGAGCTCTGGTTGCCTCCAGAAAGCCAGCCGTCCTCCTCTGAAGATTCGGAGTAAAGGGAGCTGCCAAAACCTCTTGGACCACTTCCTGTATACACGCTTCTCAAAGGTGGGGAGAGAGAGAGAAGGAGGGAGAAGAAGTCTAAAATCGGACACGGGGATCATCGCATCTGCAAAGCTTCTGCTTGGTTGCGCTCTCGACGCCCTGCAGGATCCTACGAAACATAAAAAAAACATATTGCATAAAAAGAAAAAAATCAAAACAGTGCGCCATATATCCTACGGATGGTGCACGCCTTGAAGCCGAGCGCTGATTCTTCTCTTGGTTTTAGGCGCAGAATTTGGAGACCCTAAGCGCAAAGACTGCAGGGGGGTTCATGTACTGGAAAAATGAAGTTTTGCCCCCTCTCTCAGAGGGAAAAAAGATTCTGTCTGAAGGAATTCCAACAAAGCAGGTACTACCACTGTGGGAGACTTTTAGAAGTTGTGCGTAAAGATATCGGAGAGGTTTAGACAATGCGTAAAAACGCTGATGTAACATGAGTTTATTTCAGAATCATCACTGCATTCCCCGGTCCAGACTAAGGCTTGTTTTTGTTTCTTTTATTTTTTTTTTTGTCAATCTGTGATGTCACAGGAATCACGGCTTGTGCACTGAGATCAGCCGCACGCGCCAGCCGCCATGAGGAGACACGCGCCCTCTGTGTTATGAATAGCGTGATTTGCGGTCCGCGAGCTTCTCTCTCTCTCTCTCTCTCTTTCTCTCTTTCCCTCTCTCCTTCTGTGTCGAGCGCAGCCAATTCGCCCTGAAGAGAATTAGATTTTAATTACAGCCATTAAAAATCAAATTTGCAATTCTTTGGGTGACCCGTTGCCTTCTGCTGATTGACAGTTGAAATTGACACTCCGGGTCCCTCTTATCCGCAGCTATTTGTAATTACAGGTAGTTGTCCCCCCCCCCTCCTCCACTCTTGCTGTCCTGGATTGCGCAGAAAATACTATTATTCTCAGAGGCATGGGTTAAGGGCATGGGGAAAAATCAATCCAAATTGAAATAGCTTCATTAAAATGTGCCTTTTGTTGCGGGGGCCCCCCAGTTAGCTGATTTAAGCGCGGTTTTATTGTCGGGACTGCGTTAAAAAGAGGGTTCTGCAAATGCCTCCCGTGAATTTTGAGGATGTGAGGATGAAGAGCAGCAGCTTACTGAAGGTTTTCTTGTAGGTGATCTGCACCGAGCATCAGAGCACACCGGGGACCCCGCGCAGCGCTGTGGACTCCGAACACACGCCGATGGTGAGCGTCTTTTTTTTTTAATGGTTTTTAAAAACGCAAGATGGCGAGATCTGCAGAGGTAACTTGTCTTCATGTTTTCAGTCTCATTCGGACGGGGAGTCCCAGCGCTCCAACATGGAGCGGGAGGACATCCGCTCTCCTCCCAGCACTCCTTCCACTCCCTCCGTGTGCTCACCGACCTCCACCGCCAGCTCAGTGCCTTCCACCGGGAAGAACGTGTGCGCGAGCTGCGGCCTGGAAATCCTGGACAGATACTTGCTAAAGGTGAGCCACCAATATACTTTATTTTTAATTTTTTATTATTCTTTTTGAATAATAATTTTTTTTTATTTCACACTTTTTTTTTTATTAATATTATTTTTTCTTTTAGGAAGAAATAAAATAAAATAAAAACTAACAATGATAATCTGGCATGAAGATTGCTTCTGTCTGTACAAACAGAAGCAAAGTGTTTACTGTGGTCTTACTGTGTGTTTGCTCTGGCGTGTTGGACTGAAAAGAAAAGTCTCAACATCTTAATGCGCCCTTTGTGCACAAAGATGACACTTTAAAAGCGGAGATGCGGAAAGAATCAAAATCTTAAAGCATTCATAAAAACAACCTTAAACTGTTTATCGTTGTTATTTGAACGGATCGTGAAAGATAAAAGATGCGGTTGATGATATCTCCTCTGTGAAACTGATTTTGGTGATTCATTCATTATCATCGGACTGGCAGATAGGGTTGGAAACATAAGAAATAATCATTATAGATTGGACATTTTATGAAAGGTAAAGCTAAGAAATATCTTATTTTTTTTAAATAATCATTAAGCAAAAGAAAATTATTTCATTTTATGTCCATGTTTTTTTTTTTTTTAATTCAGTCAACTTACTATTCTCTGGACAAATTTTACACTAATATTGGGGGGAACTGTTTTTTTAAATCTAAATAAAGAAATTCTCAATCTTTACTATATTTTTTTTCTTAAAGAATCTAGTAGCCTCTTTAAATCTAACTTTAAAACTAAAAAACTTATAATAAAAAATGCGTATTTTTTAAGTTAAATTTTCTTTATGTGAGGATTTCTTTAACAATTTAAAATGTTTTATAATATTTAGGGATATAGGAAGCCCATAGTTGACAGCCTAAAACAGTAGGCCTATGTATTTATTTAAATCATGCCTGTAAAAGTAATGAACAAAACAAAAGAAGGAAAAAGAAAAAATGATCAAATTTATATTTAAAAATTTTCATTAGTATTGGTATTATTATAATAGGTTACAATTAGATTAACACAATTTTTTAATTATTCCATTTGTGAAATCTAAAAGAATTCTGCAAACAATTTAAAAAAGTTTAGATTTTCTGAAACATATTAAAAATGACAATATAAAAAAAGACCGAACGAAAATTTTTTATTTTTTAGGGGAAAAATCTAATTTTTGACTGTAAGTGGGAAGGATATCATTAAGTGATGCCGCGTAAATCTCGTTAGATGAGTCGAGATCAGCTTTTGGGTTAATCATATTTCCGATTAGAGAAAAATCTACAAGATATGGCAGCAGGATTTTCTAAAATGAATTCTCTAATGTTTTTTGTTTTGTTTGTTTGTTTCTTTTTTGGGTGGGGGGGTTTCCTCGTGCCATTGACACGGCTGGTGTCTTTTTCACAGGTGAATAACCTGATTTGGCACGTGCGCTGCCTGGAGTGCTCCGTCTGCAGGACATCTCTGCGTCAGCACAGCAGCTGCTACATCAAGAACAAGGAGATATTCTGCAAAATGGATTATTTCAGGTAGGGGTAAGTTTATGGTCACGTTTTCAAAACACCAAGTCTCTCTGTCATAGTTAAACGCTAGTGCACAGTCAGCCAAGTGTGCGAACACGCACCCTGCATCCTACATGTTTCCTTGGAGATAGATGCGGGCTGCTTCATGTAATTTTGAAAGGCTCTTTGAAAAGCTGAAAGTGTGTATCAAAATAAAAGCCTCTGCTCATACTGAAAAGCTGAAAGATCCGAGCTGTTGTTATGGCTATAGGACACACACAATTTCTAAGAGCAACATAAAGGGGCTTTCTGTCTGGGTAAACTCCCCCAACATTAAACATCATATTGGGGCATTTAGTTATGATAGTTAAATCCTAATATTTAGTTAGAGGACTTTTGAACTTTTTAACCACACGTTTATTATCTTGGATTTGGATACATTCTTGAATAGGCGTTTAATAAAATTTCTTGATTTTATTTGATGTGTTATTTTCCGGCTCATGTCATCCTAGAATTGTTGATGCATGTTCGCTGCAAAGGAGATTTTCCCTAATGATTCATTCCATGTCACACACTGAGTACTAATCGCAATTTGGCCCGCAGTTAACATGGTTAGTGTGGAGCCCAAAATACACGTGAATTAAATTTCTTTATAAAGCACACATTTACCAAAAATCTCAAAGCACTTATTAAGCCCCAAAGTGTTTTTTCCCCCAATTAAACCAACATTCATCTGACAAGAAGACTTAAATATGGAATGCAGGGATCTAAAGATTAGGGTGATGGCGAAGAGGCCTCAAACACTTGAGGCTCAGGGTCACCATAGATAAAATCGCAAACAATGGAGAACAGCTGAAGTCGCAGCAGTTTACGTCTAACTTTGAAATATATATATATATATATATATATATATATATATATATATATATATATATATATATATATATATATATATATATATATATCCTTGTTCTTGATGTAGCAGCTGCTGTGCTGACGCAGAGATGTCCTGCAGACGGAGCACTCCAGGCAGCGCACGTGCCAAATATATATATATATATATATATATATATATATATATATATATATATATATATATATATATATATATATATATATATATATATATATATATATATATATATATATATATATATATATATATATATTACTATCTGCAAATTGCAGTGCTTATTTCTTAGATTTATTACATGTGTCAATACTTAAAAAACGTAATCTTAGAGGTAATTTAAAAACTATTGTACTCTATATTTTCATGTGTGAGCTGTGTGTGTGTGTCTTGGGGGGTGGGGGGTTAATTGGGGTTCACACCATTAGCAGCATAGTATGATTATGTTTAGGTGCTGGGTTGGGGTGTGCAGACATACACTCATATTTATGCCTCACACAGCAGTTTGAAGGTGTGTGTGTGTGTTAAACAGAGTAGAAACTTGGGTGTTTGTCTGATCAGAACCTGACACCAGGCCAGACCAGTGCTCTGAGGTTTATAATCACCCGCAATTAGCTGTCCTCCAACCCCAGACCCACAGGCCTCCAGACCAGTAATTAGACCGCCCCAAAAGTCTGGTCCAGCATGTTCATGACATGAATGTGATTCTTATCCAAACTGAAACTGCGATGCAAAGAGACACAAGGCCGCACACGAGTACATGGACACATATTATTTGAAATGTATATGTAAATAATATGTTTTCATGTGGAGACCTCTGTTCATTTTTGAGCTGTCAGTCATTTTTTTCGATTTAGTGAAATACTGACTAACTGGACTGTATTGTGCTTCATTTGCCATTATATTTCACCAAGTCCATTTTAAGGTTTCTTTCTTGACCTCTAGAATTAAAGACAAATAAATACGGTAGAGCATATTTTAAATTTTATCTAGATCTTCAGATAATGAATATGATCAAGATTTTAAAGGATTTGTATTTTGGGAAATAAAATCATATGTGCAGCATTAAAAGAGGCAGACAGTGCGGTTATCTGACTCCATATTTATCAAATTAAAGGAACAATGAAAGTTTTAACTATGAAACAAAACAAGGTGATAATGTGGATTGTTTGATTTTGCAGGTCAAACTCCATCAAATTGCATATTAATCCTCTGCCTGGTTTTGTTATTATTTTCAAGAAAAAAAATCCCAAATTTTTATTTAAACACTTATCATTTTAATTGCATGTTTCTCTAACTTGCCCTGTGAATATAAAATTGTGTAAAACCGTTGCAGTAAACAGTCTGGTTGTGCTGCAGGGCCTGCTGCGGCTCGCCCCGCGTTCTGTAAACATAACTGCAGTCTAGGCTTCACAAACTGAAGTCAGCTAAACACCGCTGGAGTCCTGATCCTCAGGGCTGCTTTCAGACCTCTGGAGATGTTTCCTCATCTGTGTCAGCCTCTCATCTGGCTTTGGACTGACAGCTCCTTTAATGGGGGGTAATAGCAGGAAATCAGAGAGGGTTTCCCTCCATGCATATGTGTATGCCTCTGTGTGTGCAGGGATGGAGCTGAAAGGCGTCTTGAGGGAGATAGAGCCCCTGCTGCGCCTCTCAAACCATTGGGGGTTTATCTCACATACACTCTTGCACATATAAAGAAATATTTCATTGTCAGCCTCCTCCCTTTCTCCGCCTTGGTCTGCAGAAACCTTGTCCATGAACGTCGTTGAGCTGCAGGCAACAGGGGAAGTTGCTCTGCTGCACTAATCAGGGGCTCCATAGGACATCCATGCTGTAACTATGAGTGTGTGTTGCACACCTAAATGCACACGGACCTCTTTACGCATGTGCACTCTTTGTTATTTTTGGAACTGTAATTATTCATCAGCTACCTACTTCTGGTTAACTGATTAGGTCTCCATAGCAGCAAAAGAAGAAAGCAGTTGGCACCAGGAAAATGGTTTACATTTAAATAAAAGCTGTCTTATTTAACCAAAGCAGCGATAGTTTTAAAGTGTAAAGCAGACATTTTAAATAGTTTACTTTGTCTTAAAAATAATGAGAAATTTTTGAAAAATCTGCAAAGTATGTGAATAATATCCTCTTTTTTCCCTCCTTATTTGATGCCTATGTTGTAGACCCGACACAAACTATAAAACCACACAGTCAGACATTCTCTGTTTCAACAAACCTAAATATAGCCTAGTGAATTTATCAAAGCTTTAAAAAATGAGTAGCTTCTTGAAGTTCTCTTTCAGCAGCAGGTAGATTACTTTAAAAATAATAAGAAAATTAGTTAAAAGAGAGGCTGGTAATGGAAATGAGATTGTTGTATTAGGGTGTTTTAGAGGTGCTGGATAATGACAAGGGTAAATAAACATGTTTTTTGTTCATGAAGAACAGAGTGAAAGGTGGAAGCTGATCGAGATAAGGGAGTAGGAAGTTGAATATAAGGGATGGTTTTGGAGCTTTTCTGGGTTCTGTCTCTTTACATGAATCTGACAAGCTGTCAGTCTGGATTAGTAACAACGTTTCACAATGTTTTCCTTCTTACTGTGGAAACGGTTGGGAATTGTATGAAACAATGTGCACGGAAAGCCACAGGGTCAATTTGTTTCTGGCTCAGCTTTATTGGCTTATAAGCAGGGTCCATGCTGTGGCAAGTATTATTCCTCTGTGGCTTGTAACAGTTTAATGGATCTAATACTACTTGTTGATTTATTCTTAAAATGATAATGCCCAGAGGGGGAATAGAGCTAGATAGAAAATAAGACATAGTAAATGACTTGCTGTCTATGACACTACATGCATCAAACGTCTCGCTCTTATGCAGAAGAGGAGCTGCAACCTTGTGATGTCGGGGCTGCAGAACGCCTTCATCCCAGACAGAGTGGACTTGAGTGCACTGAAACGCTGCCAAACCCACTCACTTGGCAACAAACCCTTGTCCTTCTGCTTGCCTCTCCGACGTCCCTCAGCACTTTGACTCTTTGCCTCGGTCCTTTGCCTTCCTGTTAGATTTCTATTATCTTGCTCTTTCTTTTAAGCCTCTCTTAAATCTTCCTGAAATTTGTGCTTTATTTCTGGTTTCTTTTAGTATCTAGAGAATAGCTCCTTTGCCTGTGTGAATCAGAATTAATCTGGGTGTACACATCAGTAAAAGGTAGCCGTTTATGCAGCTCTTTTTTTTTTCAGACTGCCTCCTTCACAAGAATTGCCAGCTGCTGACCTTGTCAATGGCTCTTAACCTAACCCCAGCCATCTTGAACCAGAAGCATTTAACATTTATTTAGGTCTTTAATGCCCACTTTAAAACAGTGCTTCATTCTCACTTCCATTCTTGTGCAAAGCAGAGAATTCTTATTACATTTTTAGTGTATCTCATTTATTTCTGCTTGAGTTAGATTGTTTGAAATACAGATTTAAACTTTAATAACGAATAAATTCTATCAAAAAAGCAAACTAGTCAGAATACAGATAACAACATGATTTGCTAGATTTTCTAATCACAGTTGGAAAATAAGATTGAAAACATTCTTACTTTTCAAATATAGATAAGATATAATTATTTTATTTATCTCAGATGGAGAAATTTCAGTTTATCCACAGCAAATAGAAGATACAAACTGAGATTTAAAAAAAAGAAAAAAACACAATACTACTTGGAGACTAATTCTAAAAGCAGAATTTCATGTAAATTCTCCCTTTAATGCACGCCAAAAGACAGGAAATAACTGCAAATCCAGCTTCAACACAACTCCAATACAGACTCAAGTACATACAGTAGATAGTATATCTGGCATTTTTGTTTGTGTCTACATCCTGGATTGTGCTAGTATTGGAACTACCGATGCTGTTTACTTGGCTCAGTGCTTCTGTGTCTAACGGCGTCTCTTTCTTAATAGAAAAAGTTCTGCCATTAATGTTCTTTACTTTGCATTATCTTCCTTTTTAATGTTTATTAGTTTTTCTGCCTGCTTCTTGCCCCTATAACCTTTAGCTGGTTTTGGGCGTACTAGTTATCAGCGTGAATCTAATGGAGGCTTCTTCCTGTTAAAAGGGAGTGGTTCCTTCCAACTTTCACCACCTTCTTTCCCAGTTGCAGGATTTTCTGACCAAATGGACAAATCCATAGAATTAAGCGATTTAAATGACCAATAAATAATCAATCCGATCTAAATTTGTATGCATTTTTAACTGAATTATATATAGAACATATTGATTTGCATTTAGTTCTGTATGAAAAAAATCTCAGTTGAGTTGTTTGTCAGTTACGAATCGAGACACATTTTGCATAATGGCACATTTTAGTTTAAATTAATCGCACTATCCTCTCCACTCGTGAGCATTTGCACAGCAGTCACTGGTATTTGTAACACCTGTGGGCATCGAGACGACTGAAAGACCGGGCCACCTTATTTTGATTGCGATACTGATGTGGTGATGATGAAGGTATTTGCATTGATAGTACAGCAAATTAACTTCACTTATTTACCACCTCTAAAATTTTAGCTTTTCTTTGTTTCTCAAGCTAAATTAAATAATTTTTGCAGCAGCATTTATCGATCTAGCAACTTAACTTCCACTTCCTCAACAACAGTTGTCTCCTACTCTTCATTTTATTCCTCTCTTACCCACTGTCTCCCCCCATGCCTATCAACTCCCCTAAAAAAACGCCCACCCAGAGCAGTAAATAACACACTGACAGGCTCACTGTTACTATCAGTTACAGTGTTATGACCTATAATGATGTCATCGTCTTTCAACCTCCTCCAGTCTGTGCAACCCTCTATCCCTCCACCTAATTCATGATGTGTGTTTATGTGTGTGTGTGTGTCACAGCCTTCATGGATCAACCAGGAAATTGCAGGTGTTGGTTTGTTTGTATTCAGAGCTCCGCTTGCAGCTTTTTTTCCCTGAAAGCTTCATCCTCCTCCAAGGTTTCTTCTCTCAAAGGCTTTAGAAAATGCCACAGGTTTAAAAACACAGAGAGATTTCATCTTGGTGGAAGAAAAAAACAAAACAAAACAAAAAACAACCCAAAAAGTGAACACTGCCCTAATTTTTCTCTTTGCATTTCCTTCTTTTCTCTGTCCCGTGCTGCTCTCCTCCACTCTCCTTCACAGTAGGTTTGGTACTAAGTGTGCCCGCTGTGGGCGACAGATATACGCCAGCGACTGGGTGAGACGTGCAAGGGGGAACGCATACCATTTGGCTTGCTTTGCGTGCTACTCGTGTAAGAGGCAGCTGTCTACAGGAGAGGAGTTTGGCTTGGTGGAGGACAAGGTTTTGTGTCGGATTCACTACGACACCATGGTGGAGAACCTCAAGCGGGCAGCTGAGAGTGGTAAGAAGCAGAGATGTTTTCCTAGAGGTTATGTAAAGCCAACTTAGGATTTAGATCAAGGACGTATGTTATATATAACTTTATAAAATATAAATGAGAGTAGTAATTATCAGGATGAGGGAATTCTCAAGTGTTGTGGAAGTACATGATGGCAAACTTTAATGCCACCACATAAAGTAGAGCTTAAGTTGAAAGCAGGTCAAACATAGACAACAAACATACGTAATTTTCACAACTTCCTCAACCTTTTTTACCCTGATTCCCCTAAATAAAATACATATCAGCCTATTTAAAAAAAAAAATAAAATCCCCTTATTTGTAAAAAGTGCACATGTAAATTATTCTGAATCATCACAAGACAAAGGTCAGGTATAAAGTTGTTGGTTACACTCTACCCTCTACTGGAAAGAAGAAAGATCATGTAAAGATAGCCAAAAAGTATACTGTGTGCAGTTTTTCACAAGCAAAGTAGGGAAAACATCCCTTCATTGACTTTGAAATGCTGACCTGAATGGAAAACAGTGTGTGGTAGAAAACTACACACCATTTGGACCATAAAGAGCTGTGATGGTCGCATCATGCTCCGCGGATCTTTTCCTTCTGTAGAGACAGGAAAGTTGGTCACAGATTATGGAAGATAGAGGCTAAATACAAGCTGATCCTGGGAGAAAAGCTGTTAGAGGCTATAACCGACCGACTGAAGCAGAGGTCCACTTTTGACTAGGACACAACATGTATTAGAATTACTATAGGCCACATTCCAGGCCCAAGAACTAATGTTAATTGAAGCGTACCATAAATAAAAACAAATTAAACACACCACACATTATTCAGATTATCTTGCAACAAAATTTATAAAAGGTAACCTTTTCTTCCGCTCCGCACTTTCTTCCAATTTTCGGATTTTGTCTGGATTATAGAATTTAATTAAAACTCCTATAAAGTTTGAGATTATAACAAGACAATGTGTATACATTCAAAAGCTTATAATAAATTGACTTTTGTGTGAGAAAACGAGGCAATTGATAAAAAAATGTGGCCAAAATCAAAGCACACAATTCAAATTCCTTGTTAAACCACTGACTGCTTTATTTAAAGTTAATTTCAAGCTCGTTTTAGGTTACAACTTATACTATCTTGTAAAAATGTTTTGTAGTTAAATGCAACTGATAAACAGAATGATGTTTATACATGCAAGAATAACTAGTGTTCATGAAAACTTTTGCTAACTTAATGTAAATCAACAGAAGGTTTAAAATGTAATTTTAATAATATTTACCCTGGCAAGCTATTATTTTGAAAGGGAACTTCATACAAAAGCCAATAGAGAAACAAAGTCTAGTAAAATGTGAAATGTGTGTCTAAGAAAAGTGGAGAAGAAATTGAAGGGAGAATAAAAATGTTGATACTCCTCAGCAGGAATTGTAATTCAAATTTGTATCTGAAATTTCACCTTTATTTATTTTTTTTTTTTTTACAGGTAATGGTATTACATTAGAGGGCGCAGTCCCAACAGAACAAGACAGCCAACCCAAACCAGCCAAAAGGGCTCGGACGTCGTTCACTGCAGAGCAGCTACAGGTGACACGCATCATACTATTTCTCTAATTGATTTCTAACAAAACACACATCTTTTTTTTAGTTGGTTGTGTTTGCATCTACTAATGTTGTCGCCTTATGCAGATCATGCAGGCTCAGTTTGCTCAGGACAACAATCCTGATGCCCAAACGCTACAGAAGCTGGCCGACATGACGGGGCTGAGCAGAAGAGTTATACAGGTCAGAGAGGTCTTAGATATGCACAATCTGGTAATCATTAGCCGCATGCACAGAAATAACTAATTCTGTCTCTCAATCAGAGCAGATATATTGAATGTTGAAGATACACTTTTTGCAGCTGTTTCTTATAACGACACTCCTTAAAGAGAGCTTTTGGTGCATGCAGCAGTGTAGCTAAAAAGTGATGTTTGTGTCTTCTCAGGTGTGGTTTCAAAACTGCAGAGCAAGACATAAAAAGCACACGCCTCAGCACAGCGGTGCTCCACAGAGTCATCCTCAGTCCAGGATACCCTCGTCGCTGCCCGATGAGCTGCATTATTCCCCCTTTGGGAGTCCTGAGCGAGCACGCATGGTGGCTCTCCACGGGTACATCGACAGTGAGTTTCCACTCGCTTAAGTTTTCAGCTCAACAATCTTTCAAGCTTTCTCAAAGGCCAAATATTAACTGTTGTGTGCGTCTTTTTTTTTAATACATGTTTTACAGGTCATCCGTTTTCCGTCCTAACCTCTCAGAGCCTCCCTCACCAGACTATGTCGCTGCCCCAGCTCCCCCTCAGCCGCTAGATCTCCATGTGACCCATGACCTCTGGATCTTTACTCCGGATCTGCCGTCAGCCACGCTGTATGACCTCACTTGAAGATTGTTCAAGAGTCTCGGAGAAAACACTAATCTTCCAATTGAGAACAAAAAGAGAAAGGGACAAATCTGCCGTCTTCTTCTGTTCTGTTCAGTGGATGGGAACATTTAGCCTGTGACCAGTGTGTCGAACCAATCACCTCCCAGTTTTTATTATCAGCAGGAACTCTAAGTTTGTGTTTTACACCAGCTGATGGACCCGTTCTGCTTCTCATGTACAGCATTTTCCACTCTGTTCAACCACCTTCTAACTTTGGGAATTTCAAACGGATGTAAATGATAAAAGAAGCAGGACTGCAGCTTCTTGAAGGTTGTCAGATTACTGAAGATAAAATTAAAATGTCACTGTGGCTCATTGGACAGAGCTCACACATTAGAGGTAAGACTCCTCCCTTTTTTCTCTCAAAACGACCATGAAGGAAAACAAGATGCAAACAATAGGTTGTTTACATTTAAAGTAATTTTTGCCTTTGAGATATTTTGAAGAAAGAAAAAATACAACCCAAGTTTTCAAACATATTTAGGTTAATTTTAGTGCTTTAGGCATAACATTTTGAAACAACTAAAAAAAATCAAATGTGCCTTATTCATTTTAGTAAAAAAAAAAGGTTTAGTCACCACCAAATAAATGAAACATATTAGACAATTTTTAAAGATATGAAATCTTTTGAAAATTAAATCCACCATATTTTTTTTTCATGTAAAATTAAAACAAAAGGCATATAATTGGATGTTTTTGTTTATTTTGGCAACACTTCTAAATCTTCCCTTTAAAGGAAAATGTCAGTTGAGCATCTAGTTAAACCATATGTGTTTAAAACCATGTTCGTATTTTCAGTAATTAATGAGATGGCTTTTTTTTTTTCCCCACTGTTTTTTTTCCCTTGTTTTTTTTTTTTTAAACAAAAGGGAAATAAAACTTTGGTACAATAATGACCCTATAAAACCAACGGGTTTGTACATAGTGAGAAGTGTGCATGTGTTTCTGTGTGTTGGGGGGGGGAGTGAGTGTGTGTGTATATCTTAGTGGCCGTTGTGTGAAAACAGAATACAACAACACCTCAAATTCCTTGTATTTATTGACATGATAAAAAAAAAAAATCTCTGTAAAAAGCACTTTTTCCCCCCTTTCTGAAACGGTTTTGTTCTGCCAAAAATATTAACAAAGGAAGAAAGTAAAAAGAAATAAAACAAAGGGTTTATTTGAGAGACTGTGCATCATAAATGTGTTGTGTAATAAAATGCAATAAAACACAATGTGATAATATGGTCGTGGTGTTTTTTTAAAGGTAATTTCTTACAATAAAAAGGCAAAGATTATTTCATTTAAAACATGATTGAGGCAGTAGAAAGGCGAAGGAGTGTTAAATTAGCATGGAGAGAATTGAAACCATCCGTTTAGAGAATAAGCAAAGCTTTAGTGTTTATCACAGCAGCTCCTTTGAGTTCCTGTGGGCTGCATGCAGGTTTGGTTCTTAAGCTGAAGGATGACGTTTTTGCCAGACGTTATTATTGGCCGTTGTTATGTTAGTTTCTATCAGTATGGGCCGGGCAAAAGCTGCATCAAAAGCAGCATTTCTAATGTATTGTTACTAACTGTAAAACGTTTGAGGCTTAACATGTTCCTAGGAAGGCAGTTTATGAGTGAATACTTGTCATTGTAACTTAAATTTGACTAACCTTCCACGATTTTGCTAATCTCTGAAGTTTTTATTAATTCTGTAATAATGCCTATAATCATAGTATTTTAACTTCTGATCGCATTCTTAAATATTAAATGTTAAAAACTTTGCATTAAATAGTTGTTTATTTTTCCCTTATTTTCCTTAAATAAGTTTGTTCTATAAGGTTTTAACTGCTTTGTTAAAAATAATTCTCTGTTAAGAGACAAAAACAAATTTCAGGAATGGAATCTTTACTGACTTTTCTAACATGAGCTGCCTTGAATAGATGCCTTGAGACTTAAACCCTTAATCCTGTAAGTGGAAAGAGCTACAGTCTTCTAAAGGAAAACAGTTTTATGCTGATAAAGATAAAAAAAAGAGTCCTTTTTTTGTGTTTTTTATAAATTTTTTATTTGCTTTTTTTATTCCATTATGTTCCATCACAAATAAAGACACAGCCTTTTTTTCAGCTCAGCTTTAATAGGTGAAATTCCAAAAATTCAAATTTAATGCATTCTTATGAGATGATCTTGCTGTCCTCCTCATCTCTGGATGCAGAAGGTCTTTTGGAATCATTGCCAACAGGAAAATCATCCCAAGCCTTCCGACATGTGCGCACAATCCACTCATGTTCAGAGTCAACTGTTAAAAAGATTTGTTGGGATATTTATTAATTGTCAGAAACAAAGGTAGCTTGTCACTCTTTGCAGAGATTCAACAAATTTTGTACTCTATCACATACGTTTTCATGATTAAATCTTTTTTGTTTTTTTGCGATTTGCAATACTCTGAATATATATGTACAAATTATCAAAATCAAACCTGCTTTTTTCACAAATAGGCCTACTAAAATGAACCAATACTTTAACAAGCTAGTGGGATTTCCATGGTCTGTGATACTGCTATTAAATCTGGACTATGATCAGTGCTAATGCAGTATTCTTGACTAAATTCAATATATTGCACTTTAGCACTTGTTTAGGCACAAACATTGAATTAATTGTTGATTTAGTTTTGTCTTTAAGCATTATAAAAAACTGATCCAGATAAACCCAAATTCTTAGTTATCTATAGACAAAAAATAAAAAAGATGAAACAACCTTTTAATTGAATGTTTGATTTTTTTTGTCTGTTCAGTAATTAAGAGACTTAAAAGGGCTAAAGACTAAAGATGCATGAAGAAAATGTTAGAAGTTATGATGTAACAAGCCAAAATCATATTTTAAATTCAGTCCATTTAGCATTACTAAGACCCCTGTCCTTCAAAAGAAAAAGAAAAAATAAGAAAACCGTCAAACAATTTTCCAAAAGTTTTATTTATCAGAAATGTCTGTACTTTGTCTGTTTTAAAGGCAATCAAAAGCAACCTGAAAGCCAGAACAAAGATCTTATATTCTGCTCTAAACAGAAGGTGTTAGGCTCATTTTAAGTTAACAATCAATGGCTTGCATATTTAACTGCGGGTCATTTTGTGCGCTAGACTGCAGCACTGAAGTGCCATTCAAGTCTTGGATAAATTTGTCAAAGCAAGATAGGCCTGACGATTAGAGGAAAATAACTTCTTAGAGCCACTTCAGACACCAACAAATAATAACCCACCAAAAATGGAGGCCAATCTTTTTTTAAACCAAAAGGCTACCAGAAGAGCCGATAATAAACCAGTCTCTCCTTGTTAGACGGTGAAACGAGAAGCTAATTGCAGGGAAGTGAGCTTTCTCTGGAGCGCGCGCAGCTGCACGCACTTGAGCCGCTCGCGGGCCTCACCCCGAGGATCCTCGGAGCGCGCGGGGCCCCTTTTGTACCTACAGAGAAGCATGAGGCTCGCGCGCTGATTGTGTGTAATTGGCAGCAGTGGGCGTGGACGCCACCAGCCACTTCACGAATATAACAGCTCGGCTCTCCTCTCTACCTGCGCCGACCGTGAGGGCAATTAGACTGTATCGGCCACGCGACAGCTGTCACAGCAAACATTTGCGCAGTCTTTGTGACGTAGTTCGAAAATGGGGCAGGTAATTATTGGAGGCAATATATTCTCCGTGTTACCATGAGACTGACCTCAATTAGCCACAGCCCACAGCTTAATGATGATTAGATTGAGACATTTTATATTTGCTGTAATTCTGCCCTCTTCAAATTGAATAGCAGCGTTTATCTGAGGATTTAAGTCACATGTAATTGGTAGCTTAAGTTAACTGAGGGCACAGGTGGCTGGTATATTTTAGGCTTTGCCATGTAGTGTATTAGAGCAGAACATTTGCAGTCCATAAATCTAGATAAAGATAGATTTGTTTTTAGATCAGGTATTTAGTATCACATCTTAATATTCAGGCCTTCTACTGTTTTTTGCTGTTCAAATATTATAATTCTAATGTTCTCGGTCCAAATACAAATATTGGAGATTATGCACCAACAATCAGCAAATAATCAGAGTCAGCCATTTTTTTATAATCCAAATAATCCAAAACCAGGAATTCCCAATATTTCCAGACAGTAAATGTTTAACTACCTATTATAAAAAAAGTATTTTTCTACTTTTTTGATAGTCAGCCAAAAAAAAAAGAAGAAGAAAAGAAAATGAACCAAAGTAGGAATATAAAAAAAAAAAAAATCCACATTAGATAAGAATGGCAATTAGCCTTTCAGATCCTAAAAAAAAAAACAACAAAAAAAGAAGTGGAACATTCTGATCAATAAATGTAATAAAAATAAACCGTGCAATGAGTTGACTGCTGATTTCCCCTCAATAACATTAGATAGTCTAATTCCATAAAATTTTAAAAAACAATCCACTGGACTTGCTTTCCAAGGTTTGACGTTTCGCCTACCCTCCTGGAAGTTTCTCAATTCAAATGTCTGGATTCGCAGTGAGTTTGAGGCTTTATCTAGACAAGGCCTTGTATTGCTTGGTCTAATGATAAAATCTGCAGAAACTTCTGGTTGAAAGGATGTACGAATTGAAATAAAAATGATGGAAGACACTATAAATGGGATATAGAAGCAGGAGGAAGAAAAAACTACATTGATAAATGGATTGATGGATCATTAAGAGATAAATAGTTAAAAGGCAAAATAAATTAAATGAAGAACAAATCCATCAATAGATAAAGTATGGATGAAGATGCTCCAGGGAGTAAAATTTAGAAATACAAATGCTTTTCATACTTATTCATACACAAAATTCTGTAATTCTGGTATATTTACTTTAATAAAGGTCGACTACTTCATTTACACCCACTCTGCAGTTTTTTGTGGTTGATACCAATGTGGACTGACTGCATGCATGGATGATCCTCATTCAAGGCACACAAGAGTGAGTATGGAAGCGATAATGGCACCTTGTTAAATTCTGTTTATCTTAACCCTCAAAACACACTTGGAGGGAAAAGTGTTTCCTTCCAGCCTGATCGCTGTTATTTAACACTTGCACACGTACACAAAGACTTAGACCTACCCTGGCTCATAAAAAAAAAAAAAAAAATGTTTTCCTAATTTTTGGTGATTTGCATAGGTCATCAACGGCTTCTGTGCCATGTGAAAGTGAAACCGAGACAGAAATAAGAAAGTTTTGACTGCTCTTGTTCCAGTTACCAGAGGCTCGGTGTAAGGTCATTATGCGTTATTATCCTGTATGCAGTTTGTAGACGCACTACAGTGAAATCACCCATTATATAAAAGCCAAAACAAGCATTTAAACATGCTTGCATAAGTCAAATGTCTCCTGAGCACTGTCAACACACCAGCTTGAGATATTTTTCGATATCAGATTAAAACTTTAGAAATGTAATTCATCATTCAAAGATCAGAGGATTAAGCTTATTTTGTGGATTAAAGTCTAAAAGATGTTTGAAAGGGGAGAATTTCCAGAGATTTTTTTTTCTGTTCCACTTCTGTTCCAGAGC